TGCAAAGGATTGGACACCTAAAACTTTTTCTAAAGAGCTTGAGTATGTCAAGAGGATTTTTTCTGGCAGCAAGGATGTGAGAGGAAAACGACTTCTTGAGATTGCAAATCAGATGCTTGCAAGATTGGCAAATAAGACTGAAGTTGCTGAGGTCTATAGTCTTGTAATGGCCTTCTTGACTGGTAAGTTACTATTCTATTTGGTGTGAAGAATTTGATTAATTCTTCTTAGGAAAATTTGAAACTTGTTAAGATTTTTGTTTTATTTATTTATTTATTTTTAAAGTTCTATCACTATTACTCTTATTAAGTTTATGCTTGATATAAGGGATAAACCATATATTTCTTCCTGTGAGTGTCAGGGAGGCAATGGATTAAGAGCGCTTCGGAATTTGCTTATATTCTGTTAAAAGTTATTTCTTGATATAGAAAAGTACACTCTACCTAGGGCTAATTGTTATTGGTCCTGTACAGGAGCTTGTTTATGTTGTCTTCTTTTTTTTTTTTTTTTTCCTGAAAAAATTTATATAAACTGATCATTTTGGGATTATTTCAAGTTTCCACATACTCTGCCATGGATACTTTGGCCATCAACTCCTTTTAGAATGTCCATTTCTTGGTACATGCATGATATATGAATTATTATGTTGTTCAGTTGTTGTAAGTTGATCAGGATATTAGTTAGTAGAACTTCTCATTTTGCTTGTTTGTCATTAAAGATGTTGGTGGAGGTAGGAAATGCTAATTATTAGCTAGTGTTAACTGTTAAGAATTTTTCAGAACACTTGCCAGTGTGGAATTGAACTTGTTTTCTGAAAACTTGTGCTTGATGCCTGATTTTTGTTGATAAGGACGTATTTCTGAATCAAGCTTAAATCAGTTTCATATTTTCAGGATTTGTGTTGATATGTCATTTGCTTCTGAAATTTCAGGATTCGTGTTGATATATCTTTTGCTTCTGAAATCTTGAATTCATTACATGATGGGACCACTCTTTTGTTTCAGGATGCCTTTCTAATCTTGCTGTTTGAGTTTTTAATTTTTTATTCTATATTGAATGTTGTTTAAGAGCAAGGGTGTGCTTACATCTTTTGTTATAAATGCAGACAGTGATAATTCCAAGCTTGGCACTAGTTCTGCCTTGCCTGAAAAGGAGCAAGGAAAAGGAAGCAATGGTTCTGCTGGGCCTACTCATGATATGTGGCGCAAATCTGTTCATTCAGATAAAGCTCCTCGAGTGGAAAGTTCATCAAGCCTACCTCCTGGCTTCCATGTGGACTGGACTGAGAAACGCCCTTTTGAGTCAGACTCGCAGAGGAACACTCAAAGGCAATCATTTATGCCTGAACTAGATAGGTTTATCACAATGAAACAGGAGGAGGCCAAAATGTATCGAGCACACGCTGATGAGGCTAGAAGAGAAGCTGAGCGCCTGAAACAATATGCAATGGCAAAGAATGAAGAAATTGAAGAAGAGTATAGGAGTAGAATCACAAAATTACGTCTGATTGAGGCTGAGGAAATTCGTAAACAGAAGTTAGAAGAATTTCAGGCTCTAGAAAGAGCACATCATGAATACTCTAGCATGAAGATGAGGATGGAAGCAGATATTAAAGATCTCTTGCTGAAAATGGAAGCCACAAGACGAAATCTTGCCATGTGAGAAGCTAATTAGCAGAGACTTCTATCATCAACTCAGGTAAAACCCCTTAGCGTAGAGATTTGTGTTGTTTGAGCTGCACATTATGCTTCAAGGTTACCGTAGCTTCTTATTCTTAGGTGTATGTTGGGATCTAGATTAAGATTTCTCTATTTTCTTATCCACTGCTAACCAGAATATGTACAGGGACAGCACATCTCTTCATCTTATAAACAGCTACCTTTTATGGAAGCAATCATGATAGAGATGTTTTAGGTTTTCTTTTCTTTTCTTTTATTTTTTTTTTCTTCTTTCCTTTTACAATTACCTGTAGGTTTAATTTGTAGACTATCTATTTGCCTCTATTGTTTGCAGTGCCTGTAAAAGCAAAGCTTAATGATGGGTTTTAGCCAGTAATTATAAATGGTGGTCGCCGAGCTCTTAAATAGTTACATAAACTTTAGATGGTAGTATTATCCTCTATACGTATCTGGTTCTAAATATCTGCCATTTGCAGCCTGACGTTGTCATTCATGGACTGTAAGTGCAAATGTTCGTCTGACAAAGATATAGATGCCATAATGATTATGATGAAAAATTAGGAAAATTATATCAAGTTTGTAGTCAGGAGAGTATTCATTTGGAGCACTTTTAGTTTATCTAATTTATATTATGATTAATTAGTGTAATTGTTATAAATTACTTAATCCGAAAATGCTGTAATTTGCAAGCGTACCCTTCATGGATTGGGTTTTTTTTTTTTTTTAGTCCGGGAATTTTACTTGACCACATATCGGGCAAGAATGAACTTACATCACAAAACCTGGAGACTAGAGAAAGGAACAGGGAAACAGGAAACAGGGCAAACAGGATTCAGAGTAAAGGAAGAGACAAAGAACAGGGGAATTCTACACTACCCTTTATATTTTCTCTCTTTTTGGTCTTATTTTCTTCCTCCACTATCTTCCTCTCATACGCCTCCTTAAACAATGGAAGCAACGGACAAGATGGTGTGTGGACCGGTTGACGCCATCAACTTCATGATTGCCACAAGCTTTCAGATTGCCTGCATTCAGATCGTGTCCCACTTCCTCCTCTTCCTCTTCAAACTGTTGGGCCAAGCTGGACCTATTGCCGATGTGCCCAATATGAAGGACATTACCCTTGAAGAGATGAACAAGCTATTCAGTCTGCGACTTGGCTTTTTTTTTTTTGGAGAAACAAAGAAGAACAAAAATTCAAGATAGTGACTACAAGGCTATCTAATACTCAAAATAATGGACTTAGTTTCCCATAGAAGAGGTTTGCTAGATTGTGAAGACATTAATTTCATTAAAATAAAATAATAATAATAATAATAATAATAATAAAAGAGAAGGTATTCATGAATTAACAAAGTAGTCATGAGTTTTTGTTAGTCAAAGTTTGGTCCTACAAAATCTCTTCTTTTTAAAATGAGAAACATTCAGGCCCATCAGCACATGCGCCTCAAATAAACTTGGCAAAACCTAGTGTTAAGTCCCTGAATTTTGTCTGTTTTTTCACAGAAGACCTAAAAAAATGCGTACAAGCTTCTAAAGTACCAATCTTAGCAAATTAACCCTTATGTTAACAACAACAATCACAATTGACACATGATTTTTTTTGCTTCATCAGTGTTTAGATGTAAAAAAGAATGTCACGAAAGAAAAAAAAAAAACCATTTAACTCATATGACAGCACATGATTATTACTGTTAACATAAGAATTAATTTATTGAGATTAGAACATCAAAGGACTTACTTAACACTTTTTTTAAGGGCTTGAACAGTTCAGGGGCATAGTAAGTTTTGCTGATAAAAATCAACAATTTGCTTTCCATAAAAAAAAAAAAAAATCAACAATTTGCTTATTGAGAAAATAATGAGTTTCTTAGACTTGCATCTTAATTTCACATGATCAAGACCTTCTTATGCTAAACAACCCATTTAAGAGGAACATTATTAAATTTTAATTTTTAGAAAATAATAATAATGATAATGTTGTTGTTCTGATAATCGCTTTGCCTGTATGAAGTGGGCATAGGTCACATGGAAATTGGGCCACAATATCATCCTGAATTTACATTCTAATTTACACTTCATTTTCTAAGAAAGATACTCAAAAAGTCTTGTTGGACCTACCTATAATTATTTTAAATTAGTACTGTTTGAGACTTTGAGTAGATTATTAAAGATATTCTCACAATGTTTCTCTTTAGAATAATTTATAAAATTTGTTATGATATTAAATGGGTGAACATACCTTAATTTATGCATGATGTTTAAATAAAAATATATTGTAAAATTTATTAAAATTTCTTAAAGTGACTAAGGAGTCATTTAGATTACCTTGAAAATGTAAGTTCAAACTCCTCAAATATCATTTGAGTATAAATTATTTTAATAGATTGCATAGGCTACCCTTAAAATGCTTAATACCAATGAATGGGGCAGTTTACACTTACCCTTAAAATTATAGTCAAACTAAAAGCCCAAATACCAATATTATCTAATAATATATATATAGATGAGAGATTTTTTATCGTATAATTTACAAAACACTAACTATCAAGTTAATGACACTCATACATTCCACGTGCGTGGCGTAACGACCACTTGCTGTTTTTTGGGATAGGCTATGATTTGCATCTTATGTTTTGGGTTCAATACTCTCCCTACACATTAACACCTCTAACACACTAACACATTTAACTATTACCCTTCTCAAAAAAAAAAAAAAAAGTTAATGACACCCACTATTTAACAAGAGTGGTCCTCTAATCTAATGAAAAGTGTGCTCTTTAGAAAACACCAAACATGTATTAAAAAAATCTATGCTATAAGTACCGTAATTTAGTCACTGATTTTATATAAAATTTATTTAATAAGTTGTATTCAAACTTCACTAACTCCTTCATTTCCCATCTCCTCAAATTATTTATGTTTTTTTTTTTTATAACATATTTGCAAGGGGTGGGTTTCGAAGCCAGCCCGAGGGAGGAGGAAATGCACCGGGGTAGCTATTGCAACTAGATCTTAAGGGCCAGGTGCCTCAAATTATTTATGTTAAAAAAGATATATATTAAAAAATACAATAATTATATGTTTATAATATTATATAATATTAATCAATGATTAAAATAATTTAATAATTATTTTTTTATTAAAAAAAATCATGAATTCGAATTATATAATATATAAGTATGAAAAGATAAAAAATAATTATTTTTTATTATGTAATCAAAATTAAAAAAAAAAAATATTATACAATATTACAAGGTTATCACTTCTAAGCTTACCATTTTCTTTCTTATTTTATGTTCGCCAATCGACGTACCAATTTCATAATCTTGTGAAATAAGTATTCTTTATTAATAAATTGC